GGGGGGGAGGCACTGTCTCCAGTTAACATATAGTTACTGGTATCTACAACTACCGGTGGTGATAAGAGATTTCTCAATGAGGTAATTACAAGTAAAATGGAATTGCTAATCCTAACACACATTTCACACTTGTAACAGAACTGAACAGAAGCACAAAGCTAGACAAACCAAGGCAAAGTTAATGCTACCATAAAGTAAGCCGTGAGTTTAACAACACAAGTCAGATGCATACTCCGCATATGCAAATGTTTAATAAAAAACAAAGCAACTATACTGTGGAATGACTTACTTTGCATGTCTCGCATATTCCTCATAATTTTCGAGCAGCATCTTGCCAGCTTGCTCGTTTAAAGCTGATTCTGGAAACGGTTCAATTAATAAGCATCTTATCACCTGCCAATAAAAAAGATTTCACGAAAAAAAACGGTTCAATTAATAAGCATCTTATCATCTGCCAATGAAAAAGATTTCACGAAAAAAGTTTAGCAAGTGTGTCTGGAAAGTAAATACACGAAGAAGAAAGCTTCGATTTTGAGAGTGAGAGCTTCAATTTTGGAGTGCTCATAAATATTGACTTACAATTAAAACATGCCCTAAACCAAGACTTGGATTCCAATCTTTCTTCAAGGCATTAACACAAATCTCGCCATTGGTAGCAATATTTGGATGAAAAATCTTGGTCAGAAAATAACCTAAAACATAGACAAAGCACATAAAAAGAGGTCATAATTTTTATAAATCCTTCACAGATGGCAAGATAAAATAAAAGACTGAAAAATAAAATATGTGCGAAAATAAACTCCAAGAGAGAACTTTTCATATCTAACAAACGAACCCTCATTATTTAAAATTTAAAACTGTCTCAATCTAATAGGAAACTATATTAAGCCTCTGTTTAGTTTAAATTAAAATACAATTTTTAGTAGATTTTGTTAAAAATTGATGGAATGTGGTTGAAAACCTGTAGGCCTCATAAAACATGTCACTAAAATTAAATTTTGACTTTAACTTAGTTTTTAATTAAATTTTTTAGTTGTACCAAATATGGAATATTTATAAAAAGTTCACGAACCTTTTGGAGGGGATTGTGGGAAATCATGAGACAGTGTCAACTTCATGCGGAAAATACCATTTTCGTACGGAGTCCCAGCTGCAACATTAGAGATGATCAATCACTAAAAGAAATCAATATTCAAAGACCAGAAAAGCAATAAGAAAAGAAATACTACCTGGGCCTTCAATATCAGCATATATGGCTGAAAAGTTATCATCATTCACCGCTACTTTAATGCCCTCTGGTGGTGTTTCATCGAGATTCTTCAATTCTCTTGCCAACTGTTTTATTACGTTCGGAGGAAGATTTTCATTTGTTGCCTACATCAATCAACAAGAGGAATTATTTAAAGATCTAAAACCATTTCAAATCCATAATGATATCTACCAAGAAAAATACAAAAACAAACACACAAATACATAACTTTTGTTTCTATGAAAATACTGATTCCATATTCCATACTATCTGTAATTAGGAATTGTTGCATTGAAAAGTAAAAAACCATTTTCCACATCAAGCGTGAATTGCGATCAAGTTCATGCTTACTATACCAATTTAGAAGTTAAAAGTATAACATTTGAGACTCTTAACATGTTTCAAAAATTCTGAACCTCATTGTTAAGTTGAGTTCTTGTTGCAAATAACCCATCCACTAAACATACTTTTATGGCAAAAAGATGAAGGATGGTGGCACATAGAATATCCAGCAATAACAGATATAAGTAAAAAATCATACCATAGCAACTCAAGTCGGAGCTTCTGAAATGCCAATAACAACGCTGACAGGAAGAAATCAGTACTATCAGCCTGCTTTACAAAATTACTATTCTGGTAGTTCCACGGACCGTGATAACAGTCACAATAGAATATCCCTGCAAGTTAATAGAATTAGCGCTAAAGATTAGATTACCGCCAACAAATGTTGATAGGTAGGAAATGCCAATGTTGAAAATGACTAAATAGTGATGAACCACAACTAACTCATCCATTCATTTTTTAGTTATTGCCCGGTATTCAAGTTATCGATCTCTATTGCATAGCAAAGGCAAAATACAAAATCAGCCAAACTGATCATCACACAAACTGAATCCTCAGTTACCAAATCCCATTAACATGATATCCAATCCCATAAATTGAAACTCCACCTTCTCTGACTGACTTTGCACAGGCAGTTACTTATGTTTCTTTGGTAAGGTAAGCGCAAAAGTCCGAACAACAATGACACAATTTTCAAATATATAAGCACGTGAAGAATAAGACACGTGAAAAACAATTTAAAAGACTCACGAGAATTCCTCAGCCCCCAACCAAGAAACCTAATAAAAGCAACATTACCATTAGCCAAAATATGAATATATACATTCATTTGTTCACATAAACACTGTGACTCTTGGCATAAAGAGAAATATGATCTTTCAAGGCAATATCATGACAAAAAGATTCAAACCAACAAATATTAGCAACTTTGCACGAACACAAAAAGGAAATGAGGCACTTTTTCAAATCAGAAACCGGAATAATCCTGAAATTGCACCACTCAAACTTGAGCAAAAAAAAAAAAAAAAAAAAAATTTAAAAAANNAAAAAAAAAAAAAAAAAAAAAAAAAAAATTCAACAAATGAGAAATCAATTCAAGAAAACTCTTTTCAGAAAAACACAATCAAGAAACAAAGAAAAGAGAGTAGGCTCACTTCGCGTGAAATTTCCAGATTTCACAAAAATGCATCCAGAAATTTTAAATTACAAACACTGCAAAAATGTACTTTCAACCCAAAAAATAAAAATAAATAAATAAAATTTAAACCCAGATGAACAAAATTACCTTTGGAGCGACAGAAAGAGCGAGCGATGAAATTTTAAAAATCCTGAAAATGTATACAGAAATTCTAAATTAAAAGCACTGCAAAAATGCACTTTCAACAAAAAATAATAATAATAATTTAATTAAAACCCAGATGAAAAATTCACCTTCTGATTGACAGAGAGAGCGAGCAAATGGACCGAAAATCTGAGTGCTATATGATGTAGAAGAAGGCCACTTTTTTCTTTGCTTTCACTATTTTTCTTTTTCGGAAATAGTCACTCTTTTATATGTGCGTATTATCAAACTCAGCTAATGCCCAAAAAAAAAAAAAGTTTAAAATTTTCAGAACCCGATCTTCTCCCTGTTGGCAAATGATTGTGAAATAGATTATCAAATGCGCCACCGAGAGAGAGAGAGAGAGAGAGAGATGTGCATATACATTGAATATATAGAGACGTTTACCTTTTACGGAGAGTTGATATTGCCACCTCCAAATTTGAATTTTGAGCACTCGTCGGATATGAACGTTACAAAGAGATTCTAATTAATGTTAGCCCTTGTTTGCCTTCATTTTAAATTTATATTTTTGTCTTCCTTCTTTTTAATCACATATTTTTTAATAAAAAAATAAAATATGTGAATCCAAAAACTTTCGTTCTTTTTAGCCACACATTCATAAAAAAGTTAATATTTCAAAATATATTTTTCTCAAAATCTCATTAAAATGGAACCCAGACAAGGATTTAATGTGGTCAAAATGCTATCTTTTTCAACTTATTTTAGTATGATAGCAAAACATTAGGAGCCACTTCAACATAATAATATGGAGAGTTCGATCGTGACTCAAAAAGAATACTAAAGACATAGTTTGCCCTGAATTTTTTATTTCGATCTTCAACTACTTTCAAAGGAGCCTCATGCAATATTTAATAATTTTTTGTAAACAATTTAAATCTTAGTTCTTTAACGAAACAAAATAACATATTCTAAAAATTCATATTAGGAAATACTAATTAACAATTTATTTTCAAAGATTTACTATAACTGTTTCCAATACATATTATAAAATGCTTGTAGTACATAACTATTTACATAATGATAACGTGAGGAAAAATTATTTGATTGGTAAGATTTTGATCCAATTAAATTTCGTCACGTTAGTTATTAGTAAACCATTTATGTAAATAGTTATGTACGTATAGCACAGCTCATTATCGATTTTTTATTTTCTTCTTTTAACCTGCATAAACGTTTACCAATTTCTATGTAAGGAAAAATTACAGTCAAGGTAACAAACCTTTCGACTTTAAGCAAACTTTGCCTAAATCTTCATTTTGTTGCACCCATGATACTAAACCTTTTAAAAACTTGCACTAGTAGTCCAAATGAATCATTTCTGTTAGCTTGACCGCTAGTTGACTCAAGAAATTGATTTTGACCAATTTTAAAGAGATAAAATGGTAACTTTGAATTAAAATAAAACCAAAAAAAAAATGAAAAAGCCATCCCTATCCCCACAAAAAAAGTACTATTCATTATCTCCACTCCACCCCACCCCGAATTAGTTAACTCAAGAAATTGATTTTGACCAATTTTAAAAGGACAAAATTGTAAATTTGAATTAAAACAAAACAAAACAAAAACAAAAAGAAAGAAAGAAGGTACTGTTCATCCCCCCACACCTTACCCTAAATTAACCCACCCCCAAAATCATCATCTCCGTCCAATCAATGTGATCTACGATGTGAATGATCAAGCTACTGCTGGGTAGCATTTCGGCTCTCACAAAGCAAGAGGAGCCCCGATTGGCCCACCAGAGGATCACAATTGATGGAAGAACAACATTTTGGCCATCAAATGCAATTGACAAAACCACCACAATGCTACTTTGGGAATCGAATTACGAGGCAATTGAGCAGCAGTTGGATAAATTTATTGTGTACCCACAGTCATCTGATTATGAATATGAGTTGGTGCTTGTGAATTTGTGGATTGAATGGGAAAATTATCAATTGGATTGGATATGAAAGCTCTTGTTCGTACGCGTCTGGATGCGAAATCTTATAAAATTCATTAATGTTTTAGCCCTATTTTGTTGAATCATCACCATTATATTAAGCGCCTATGGTGGTCCGAGAAGGTGGGTGTGGCGATGAGGTGGGTTTCTGCCACCATAGATCACATTGACTTGGAAATTCTTGATGGGAAGAAAATGGTTTCTTGATTGTTTTGTTAATGGTTTGTAATCCGGGATGATGAAATTTATGATAAGATGGCGAGTTTTGTGGTGGAGCCACAACGACGACGACTATAGTGGTGGTGGGTTAATTCGGGATGGGGTATGAAGGAGATGGTGAACATTACTATTTTTTTTCCTCGTTGGGCTGGGGTTGGCATTTTTTATTTTTTATTTTTACTTTTTTTGTTTTTTGTTTTATTTTAATTCAAATTTACTATTTTGCCATGCTAAAATTGGTTAAAACCAATTTCTTGAGTCAACTAATAGTCAAACCAACAAAAATCATCAATTTGGACTCCAAATGTGAGTTTTAAAAAGGTTTGGAACCGTGGATGCAACAAAATGAAGGTTTGCACAGAGCCTGCTTAAAATCTAAAAGTTAGGTACCGTAGAGGCAATTTTCCCTATATGTAATTCTTTACTAGTTTAATGTGCTGTAAAATTCAAATCGGTCGGTGGCTTAGCGTATGCTACTGACCGTTGGAGAGCCCTCTTCTCAACTAGCCGTTAACGGTGCCAACCTCAATTTCAATGCTTTTTTATTTTCTAATTCTACAAATAATTGGTCTCTCAATAATTTTTGAACAAATATCACTTAAACATTTTGATAAAATATACTTTCACTATTATTTGTTGAACAAATATCACTTACACATTTCAATAAGATAAGACTTCATTTTATCCAACCAAGTTTGTCCACCAACCTCGCCTATCCTAATCCCCGCTGTTTTGGCGACCCGACTGAACGAATGCAATTACACGACTTACACAGCGAGGAGTTCGAGTTCTTCGTAGTTTATTCATTCTACGAATTCACTATGAGTAATTAAGCAAACATTAAATAAAACAGTACTTGAAGGTTCACAAGCAGCTAATGTTTATTCCACGTCTCCGAGCTATATATTCGCATTTAATTCTAGTCATTGGATAAATAAAACTTTGACAAATAACTAATTGATTTTCCCTCATTTCTTTCAGTCAACAGGTCTACCACAAGATTATCTCAAAATTTTGGAAATGTTTGGACGGGTCATGGTCCGGTTAAATCCTATTTAGTGAAAAAAAATAAAAAATATATCATACAATAAATAATCTAGGCAAAATTTCGTGGAACTAATTTCAACTATCATCTAGATCTGGAGTTTCTTAGTAAACATTCCGCCCTTCAAAATCACGGTCGGCTTCCCCAAGTCAAATATACGTGAATAGGAACCCGCTTTTGTAAAAGCTTCACTGCTACTCCACACGGTAAAATGGTGCATCCAATTTTGCCCAATATGCATGGACATTAAATATACACGAGCTTCTGTCAATCGCATATTGTAGAAATGTTCTCGTTCATGTAGCGATCCCAGAATTGATCATAGATCACAACGTCAGGCTCATCACAAATTGATATAAGAAAACAAAAACTCAAAAGTTTAACTTTAAAACTCACGAGAAAATAAAAGTTTCAATCCACAAAAATCCAGTACAACTTATTTCATTGAATTTTTGAAACCAAGCCAAATGAGCTTTATATCTGATTTAAAGAGCAAACTGAGTCAAACGCCAATAACGGCATCAATAATCAAGAATAGCTGTCGAATATTTATTCTTCTGCAGTAACCACAGTGATCTCGCCTTTATCCAACAAGTCATAAAATGCCCGAACTTTTCTCTGCTCGTTCCAGTGATGCATTTTCCATAAACTACCTGCTGCACAACCAAGCACTATTCCAATAACTATCTCCTTCACCACACTAGGTCCTTTCAAAGTGGCGTGGGCGATCCTACTGCCAGCCATTTAACTTCTTTCAAGAAGCCTACAAATCCTGCAAATAACACTTTCTATTTAATTGTAATTGAAAACAGTTAACAGGTTTCACTGAAGAAAACTAATTTAAAGCAGCTTGTAAAAGACCGAAACATCCATGTAAGGAGTATGGCTTTGGGAATCACACATTTACGGTTGGGTATCTAATTTTAGAAAGACAATTTACGCTTTATCAACTAATTTCATATCACAATTCAGGCATTGAATCAGTGAGGTTTATACTCTTTCTTTTGAAAATCAGAAGTGCCCGTGGAACTCTTGTTAATAGTTAAATCGTTTAGGGTGCGTTTAATTACAAGCATGAAATTTGCATGGAAAGAGAATAAATTTTAGGTAATCCAATTGCTAGAATTTATTTGCATGAAAGTTGTTAATTAAATGTGCTCGATTGATTTAACTTTCAACCTAAAAAATACTATACTTGTCCATTTTTTATTGGTAGATAGATGAGAGAGAGAGAGAGAGAGAGAGAGAGAGAGAATTCTCTGAAAATTAAAATCATACTCACCTAAAGAAAATATTTTCCTTGATTTTGAGGAAAATATGGTCACGTGACCGAAAGTAGGAAAATATTTTTCATGAAAAAAGACAATTAAACAACACAAAAATAGGAATTCGGTGGAAAAAACACATTTTCCATGGAAAATATTGATAATTAAACACACCCTTATTTCTTTGAAATACTTAAAAAATAACATTACCTCATGGATTTTAATAATCTATATGCCCATATTGTTTTCAATCAATGATTCTTGCATAAGTACTGATAATCAAATCGGAAATCATAGAAAAACTTTGATACTCTATCCCCTTTTATAACCCCACAAAAACATCATATGAAATAGAACACTTTGAAAGATGTTCTATGATTGACTCTTCCCAAAGCAAAGGAATGATCCATTTTTTTATTGGACAGATGGGGCAAATAAACGATTAAATATAACAATCTAATTCTCAATCTTTCTACTTTCTCCTACATAACCAAGGTCGAAAAAATTGAAAAAAAAAAGTCACCCAATCAACTGGATTAATAAATATGTGAACTATGATTCTACATGCATTTTTTACTTTCATTTATCTACCAAGTAAATATACAAAAATTTCAAAAAATGGTAACACCAAACGTATGGATTAAATAACAATAGCACTACTAAATGACGATCTCCAAATGCTATCTGAAACCAACAATTATGATCTTTAGCATTTGGCTGATCTATACCATAGGTCCAACAAGAATGGTATCCATTATGAGCATATTTGATAAACAGAACCAGGTAACATCATCATTGTACTAACTATTCCACAAATATAGTCGAGATATCTCTCCCCCCTTCCCCTCCGAAACCCACACCCAGGTAACATCATCATTATACTAACTATTCCACAAGTATAGTCAAGATATCTCTCCCCCTTCCACTCCGAAACCCACACCCAAAAAAAATAAAAAATAAAAGAAGGGAGGCTCTGAGCAATAATCTCCAATGGGAGGAAACAGAAGAAGCAACATTAAACAAGTGAAATTACAAATATGAAGCTACTAACAAGTATATTACAAGATGAGAAGGATACGTTATGATGCTTGAGCCAATAAATTTCTCAAGTTGCTCAAACTCCATTTCCTTAGAGCTCTCTAATGACCAAGGCAACCGTGGTCGAGAAAGGGGAAAAAAAAACAAAAGGCAAGAGAGAGAGAGAGAGAGAGAGAGAGAACAACTTCACTTCAAACTAATTAATAACATAATGTTCAGAAAATTGGGAATCACTATCCAGTTATCAGTACTGATGTTACTCAGATTCAAGCCTCTAATAAATATTAAATTATTCTTCAGTCTAGTGTTTGAAAGGCGAATCAGGTACTGAGGCATTCTGTGAGGTGAGGACATAAATCAATGCCTCACCATAAATCAAAACTCAAAATGTACAAATACAAAATAAGCCAGTAATAAACCAAATTTAAAATATACTACACAATAAACAATTAAAATTGTAACTAGAAAAAAAAAAACACAAAAAAATTAAAATAATAAAAAAATTAATAAAAAAATTAAACAGTGAAAGTATGGAAGAAAAAGACAATTGCAGATATGAGGAAACAAATTACTGATTCAATAAACACAAGTTTCAGATTTCATCTTAAATCTTCTTGTATTTTGCAGTTATGATAGTATATAGTTTGATAATCCTGAGGAAAAAGTATAAAATAATACAAAGCAAACTTCAGTCAACTAATAACATTGCTGAAAAGAGAGCACATGCATATACGTCTTTTTCCGAAACATAAGTAAAGTCAAAGAAGGGGAAAAGATGAGACTGAGAAGAAATGAGTAAACATAAGTAAATATTAGCATTTGTTTGGCCCCCATTAAATTAAAATTCATTTTTTCCCTCTTTTTATCAATCACACATTCTTCAATAAAATAATATTACACATAAATCTAAAAACTTTTTCTACCTTTTTAACCACACATCCTTCAAAAAATTACTATTCCTTTCATTATAATTTAAAATAATGGAACCCAAACAGAGGCTTACTTCTAATCACAATTTAAAACATTGTATGTAAATGTTGATACAAAAAATCCAGTGTATTTGCAACAGTTGTCAATATTGGGATCCAATTAGATGCCATCCCTAAAGGAAGTAAATTCACACTACAACATCGAGCAAGCACACCATATCAAGACCATTAAAAAATCAAATTAATTTATTTTTTTTCCCAACGTTATGCAAAGAAAATAGAGAGAGAGAGAGAGCAAATTTATCAAGGAAAAAGTCCGAAGAGCTAGGAGTAAGCTTTCTCACTCAATAACACAAATCCCTCCCTATCTTCCCCCACTTCCTCGGTTTCATAAAAGATGATTCTTTCATGGGTGGGCGTGTAATAAAAGATTACAGAAGTGCTCTTTTTTTTTTTTTTTTTTGGGGGGGGGGGGGGGGGGGGGGGTTCTTTTACTTGAATTACGACTGAAACAGATGTTAGCTCAATCCAAAGGAAATTATGCGGATGATTTACAGAATTATTATGATAAAAAAAAGCAGTATTGAACTTCTATAATCATTTCACAATGCATGTGCAATGAATCCAGAAAAGTGGTATGTCCTTCCACAGAACAAACACACATAATCACCACACAGACAATTACATAATAACTTCCAGATTGAATTCTTAAGCCATTGAGTGTGTTTAATCATATAGGCATAAAACAATGATCGTCAATATATGAGATACTTGATTTTGATAAATCAAGAGCTTTGCTGTGAGCTTTGTGCTAAAATCCAGAATTCTTACATGTTTAATAACCATGGAAAAAGCCGCAGTTATCATTTCTTGAGATTTTAACAACTGTGAATTAGCTTAAGAAAGGGCGACAAAGCTAGTATATAAACTAAAAATAAAATCAAATTACTCAAATCTGAAAAACAGTAATGAGTACATAAAAAAATCTGAACAAGCGCAAATGGAAAAAATTAACCCAAACATACAGGTCATAAAGTCAACAAAACAATAGTTTAACATTTTTTTATAAAAACATTAAAATCACAAGCTTTTTAACAGAAATCTGAAAATGAAAATTTATTATCATGATTCAGACAAACAGAAATAAAATTGTTCAAAAGACGTGCAAAACCGATAAAGAAAAAATATAAATCCAGATTCCCAACCCTAGATTCCACTCCAGGTCAATCCTTCAATCACCAATCCCAATCCGTACAAACTAAATCTTAAATCAAATAAAAGCCCTAAGAAATTTAGAAAAGCAAATAAGTTTCAATTTAAATTTGTGCAAGAACAAGCGAGGGGAGAGATTACCTGAGAGAGAGAGAGAGAGAGAAAGATTCCTATGAAGAATAGCGTCAATGTAGACCGCAGTTGCGATATTGTACCAGATTGCCATAGTTTGACGCTCTTAATTGGGCTTAAACTTCAAGATAAATGCTTTGGGCCTTCTTTTCTGTCCCATATAACCCAATAGTATGTTTCTTCAATATCAATAAATTTAGGGGCAATTCACACGTATAGGAAAAATTATGGGGTTGAATTGAAAATATTAATTAATTTTTATTTTTTTTGTAAATTTTAAAGAAAATTTTGACAATTACAGTTTATGAAAAATTTTACTTGTATTTTATTTTTTGTCAAATTACAACATATTTAATTTTTTGACGTATATGTAAACTTTCAACAAATTATAACATATGTGTGAGGGTGAAATTTAAGAAATCTTTTACTTATAATTACATTTCGTGTACTCATTATAATCTTGTCATCGTGTATGTAGTTTTTTGAAATTATAACTTAATTCAACAACTTCTTGAATATCACTGAAATTCCTAAATCATGTTTAATAAAAGGCAACATTCACATAAAAAGTTCGATTAATTGCATTATTTTCTCACACTTTGATCAAGAGGCTCAACCCCGATTTGTTTGGATTATTCCATATGTACCAAATGAGAGCACTGAATGGTGCCCCCCCTCCGCCCCCAACACAATGTATGCAAGCCCCACATGAATTTAGAAATCCCACCATATGATCATCACCCCTATCGTGAGTAATAGGTAAAAGATTAGGTAAAAAAAATTCGATACGTGTAACATTATCCTATTTGTTTTAAAAAAATTAAAATTTTAAATTTTAATAAAAAGTAGATAAAATGTCTACTTATATTTAATTGCAATTATTGGAAAGAAAAGGTGTGATGATTGTGTCCATTTGGCATAGAAATATCATTCAGACACGAGAATCTTCATATCAAACCAAATATTCTTGTTCATGACATATTGCATCCAGTAAACTTGTGAGTTAATAAGTTTAAAATATAATATATATTTTTTGTTCAAATTAAAAAATAAAATCACCTACTTGAAATTAACCATATCTTATAATCAAAATAAATAAATAAAGAAATGTAGAAATAATAACTTTCAAAGTATTTATAAAGAAATAAAAAAGTAACTTATCCAATATACAAGCGACGAAGGCCAACATTTGATACATTTGTACTCTCTTATCAATTGAAATGAAAGACCATTTTGTTTTTTTCGTATTTATCCAGTGAGAGCATAACAAATATATTTTTCTTGTCAACGTGAAGAAATCACATATCAACTATCCTTGACAAAATTTTCCGGGAGCAACAGAATTAAGAGAAAAAGTTCCCATGGAAGAAAACTTTGAACCAAAAAAGACAAAGGAGGAACGAAAAAGGCGAATTAACCTATTCTGGCACATCCCTTCCTCTCAACATGCATAGTATATCCTTCGACAAAATCACAATGGAAATCTTGAAAAATGAATTCCATAGATACGTCACCTCTCTTACTTTCCCTTTGTAGAATAAGTGATTATGCTCGATAAATAATAACTTCTGAGTTAGTTATATTTCACAATCTACAAATTTTCACCTACAAAAGAAAAATGAGAGATTACAAATTGGCCAAAGTATATAGAAGAAGGCAAGAAATTGGCAAAAACAAAGATCATACAATACTAACTGTGTTTTCAGCACAGAAATCAATTACCTTCTACCTCTGAAGCACTGCGGATGAATTTCTGTGGGAGCTAGCCTCAGTCCCTTCATTGTCAGAAGTAGCATCTCCAGTAGCAATTTTTTCTTCTTGACCCGGATTGAAGAAAGGGTCGAGCATAACTTTTTCTCCGTTTCCCTTCTTCAAACTGTCCTCAATGCCATTATAATCCATATTATGCAGCTTACCATCCTTGCCAACAATACCAAGTTCCAGGTCTTTCTTCCCCATGGAGTTCGAAATATCCCCTCCAATTCTTTTAGTCGTGGACCCTATAATCGATTCATCTTCTACAATCACCCATTTGCGGAAATTTACCAGAGATGGAGCCGTCTTAGAGAAAAATATTTCCTTGAGGTTCTTTATCATCCCTAGGTTATATGGATTTTCCTTTTTATCATACCGATACCGGAAGTTTTCATATGTCGTCTGTGAATAAATAAATCGAATACACTGTTACGATGCTAAAACATTAATCGAGAACTACTACAAGATTTCTATATATCAGGGTAGTAAGGAACTGAAAACAGCAGATTCTCAAGCAAGACTCGTCCGACGAAACTTCTGAAGTTCGGATTCAACAACAGGATCACATAAGGTACCATTGAGACCTCAGGAACAATGCATTATATTTTTGTCTATAGTTCATTATCATTACTGACCAGAATCAAACATTTCGTGTGCTTTTGAGTAAAAGAAACCGTTGAAATAGAGAGCCTCGCGGCCATCCATAAATACAGCTATAAAAAGGCTCGAACAACTGGAGGATTGGTACCAAGTTTATAGAGACAATATATTAGCAAATAAGGTATGATCTCCCCCCCCGGCCCCCGCCCCTTTTTTTTATCTCGAAATTGGTTATTTTCCGCAATTGTCAATGTGGTTATTTGATTTTCATACAGCTTCAGACCAGCATGACATAAAATTGGTTTCTGATGGGGAAATGCAAAATACAAGTTTAACCAACAAAAAATTGTAAACTCAACGGTAATTTGAAATTATTCTACATTGTACTAGGAAAATCAAGAGCTGGATGTTTGATGGTGAATTCCCATGAAGGGTGCCATCAACAGACTTATGTTAAAACAGTTAAGGTAGTGGTTGGTTTGCATTTTCATTTTCCATTTTCATTTTCAAAACGATTTTTAGTTTTCCCCGAAAACGGCCCGTTTTCTGCATTTTCAACTTTATAGCTGAAAACGATAAAAAGTAGTTTTGCATTTTCAGTTATAAATTTTAACTCGTTTTCGAAAATGCGTTTTTCGCGTTTTCGAAAACGGAAAACGAAAAATGGACCGAAAACGGCAAACTAACCACAGCCTAAATTTTTTAACAAGTGGGTGATCTTCGTTCTGTCTTTAATGTGACTCACTAGAGACTTTTGGGATCCTTCTCAACATTTCAAAAGTATGTACCCAAATGCTAAAGTTAGATCCTTAATTCCAGCTTTCACCAATCCAGTTCTTGAAATATATTTATAACATTAATTACAAGCTCAAAGAAATCGCTAAGGAACAAAATCTGCATTTAGGCAAGCAACTGAAGCAAGCATAGGGCTCGTAACAGTTTAGCAGGAAACTCATTAAAGAATAGTTGTCAAGAACTCAGAATTACATAACAAATTAGAATATGAAATGGCACTTGTCCTCTAAGAGAGAGAAGCTAACCTGGTTGGTGCAGATAAGATAGAAATGGAAGACACTCAGGCCGCCTACAAACCACACGGCGATGAAGCAGTACACTAATAGAACGACAGACATTATATCCCTCGACAAGATACCCCACATGCTGCCCGGTTCCTTAAGTATGTTCACTAAAGTAAATGTGAAAACATATATACACAAGATTGTTGATGTCGATATAAACAAAATGTACTCCCGATAGTTGCGCTGCAACCAAAAATCAACATAGACAAGTAAAGAGTTAGTTTGTTTTCAAGATATTGAAGGAACTAAATAGTCACTGTAGACTAGCAAAATATTCGAAAATGGCAAAATCTGACTTCTTTCTTAGTCAATGGTCTATGATTTCAATAAAGTACACTAAAAGCTTGTTTATTATGCAGTACTATGAACAACATTTTAACTTCCATCATATTTAATATTGTCTAGAATTGTCCAATCCACCTTATCAAGCTACAAACATGCCATGGAGAATTTTACGAACTCTGATGACAATTGAACGATGAAGCATCATAAGATTGCTAATGTAAATGCAACCATAACAAAATCATTAGCCTTGATTGTGCCCAACAAAACATCACCAAATAGTCAATCTATGTCCATTTTCCTTACTACATCAAATTTATAAATTGCAAGTACTTATTGCTATTTAATACTCCCCCACTTAAAACTATTTTGAGAAGTTTCCAACATCTTGAGGAGTGTAAGGAGTATTTTGCAGAGCCAATTGAAAGAAACAGGATAAATGTAGTAAGCTTGCTTTATTCGATGTGTCTTCATGCAATAAATAAGCTCCCATATTTACCATATAATCTCCAAAAAAATCAAAGAGAAAAAAGGGTACTTGAATGGTGAGATCTGCATCACACAAATAACAGTATTTTTAGGTAATTGAAATCAAACTGTTGAATTCTCTTCCAAGGCTCATTACATTATTATTTACAGATTTATGTGCATTAGAATTAAGAAAGTCTGAGTTTAACATTTTTTTATAAAAACATTAAAATCACAAGCTTTTTAACAGAAATCTGAAAATGAAAATTTATTATCATGATTCAGACAAACAGAAATAAAATTGTTCAAAAGACGTGCAAAACCGATAAAGAAAAAATATAAATCCAGATTCCCAACCCTAGATTCCACTCCAGGTCAATCCTTCAATCACCAATCCCAATCCGTACAAACTAAATCTTAAATCAAATAAAAGCCCTAAGAAATTTAGAAAAGCAAATAAGTTTCAATTTAAATTTGTGCAAGAACAAGCGAGGGGAGAGATTACCTGAGAGAGAGAGAGAGAGAGAAAGATTCCTATGAAGAATAGCGTCAATGTAGACCGCAGTTGCGATATTGTACCAGATTGCCATAGTTTGACGCTCTTAATTGGGCTTAAACTTCAAGATAAATGCTTTGGGCCTTCTTTTCTGTCCCATATAACCCAATAGTATGTTTCTTCAATATCAATAAATTTAGGGGCAATCCACACGTATAGGAAAAATATGGGGTTGAATTGAAAATATTAATTAATTTTTATTTTTTTTGTAAATTTTAAAGAAAATTTTGACAATTACAGTTTATGAAAAATTTTACTTGTATTTTATTTTTTGTCAAATTACAACATATTTAATTTTTTGACGTATATGTAAACTTTCAACAAATTATAACATATGTGTGAGGGTGAAATTTAAGAAATCTTTTACTTATAATTACATTTCGTGTACTCATTATAATCTTGTCATCGTGTATGTAGTTTTTTGAAATTATAACTTAATTCAACAACTTCTTGAATATCACTGAAATTCCTAAATCATGTTTAATAAAAGGCAACATTCACATAAAAAGTTCGATTAATTGCATTATTTTCTCACACTTTGATCAAGAGGCTCAACCCCGATTTGTTTGGATTATTCCATATGTACCAAATGAGAGCACTGAATGGTGCCCCCCCTCCGCCCCCAACACAATGTATGCAAGCCCCACATGAATTTAGAAATCCCACCATATGATCATCACCCCTATCGTGAGTAATAGGTAAAAGATTAGGTAAAAAAATTCGATACGTGTAACATTATCCTATTTGTTTTAAAAAAATTAAAATTTTAAATTTTAATAAAAAGTAGATAAAATGTCTACTTATATTTAATTGCAATTATTGGAAAGAAAAGGTGTGATGATTGTGTCCATTTGGCATAGAAATATCATTCAGACACGAGAATCTTCATATCAAACCAAATATTCTTGTTCATGACATATTGCATCCAGTAAACTTGTGAGTTAATAAGTTTAAAATATAATATATATTTTTTGTTCAAATTAAAAAATAAAATCACCTACTTGAAATTAACCATATCTTATAATCAAAATAAATAAATAAAGAAATGTAGAAATAATAACTTTCAAAGTATTTATAAAGAAATAAAAAAGTAACTTATCCAATATACAAGCGACGAAGGCCAACATTTGATACATTTGTACTCTCTTATCAATTGAAATGAAAGACCATTTTGTTTTTTTCGTATTTATCCAGTGAGAGCATAACAAATATATTTTTCTTGTCAACGTGAAGAAATCACATATCAACTATCCTTGACAAAATTTTCCGGGAGCAACAGAATTAAGAGAAAAAGTTCCCATGGAAGAAAACTTTGAACCAAAAAAGACAAAGGAGGAACGAAAAAGGCGAATTAACCTATTCTGGCACATCCCTTCCTCTCAACATGCATAGTATATCCTTCGACAAAATCACAATGGAAATCTTGAAAAATGAATTCCATAGATACGTCACCTCTCTTACTTTCCCTTTGTAGAATAAGTGATTATGCTCGATAAATAATAACTTCTGAGTTAGTTATATTTCACAATCTACAAATTTTCACCTACAAAAGAAAAATGAGAGATTACAAATTGGCCAAAGTATATAGAAGAAGGCAAGAAATTGGCAAAAACAAAGATCATACAATACTAACTGTGTTTTCAGCACAGAAATCAATTACCTTCTACCTCTGAAGCACTGCGGATGAATTTCTGTGGGAGCTAGCCTCAGTCCCTTCATTGTCAGAAGTAGCATCTCCAGTAGCAATTTTTTCTTCTTGACCCGGATAGAAGAAAGGGTCAAGCATAACTTTTTCTCCGTTTCCCTTCTTCAAACTGTCCTCAATGCCATTATAATCCATATTATGCAGCTTACCATCCTTGCCAACAATACCAAGTTCCAGGTCTTTCTTCCCCATGGAGTTCGAAATATCCCCTCCAATTCTTTTAGTCGTGGACCCTATAATCGATTCATCTTCTACAATCACCCATTTGCGGAAATTTACCAGAGATGGAGCCGTCTTAGAGAAAAATATTTCCTTGAGGTTCTTTATCATCCCTAGGTTATATGGATTTTCCTTTTTATCATACCGATACCGGAAGTTTTCATATGTCGTCTGTGAATAAATAAATCGAATACACTGTTACGATGCTAAAACATTAATCGAGAACTACTACAAGATTTCTATATATCAGGGTAGTAAGGAACTGAAAACAGCAGATTCTCAAGCAAGACTCGTCCGACGAAACTTCTGAAGTTCGGATTCAACAACAGGATCACATAAGGTACCATTGAGACCTCAGGAACAATGCATTATATTTTTGTCTATAGTTCATTATCATTACTGACCAGAATCAAACATTTCGTGTGCTTTTGAGTAAAAGAAACCGTTGAAATAGAGAGCCTCGCGGCCATCCATAAATACAGCTATAAAAAGGCTCGAACAACTGGAGGATTGGTACCAAGTTTATAGAGACAATATATTAGCAAATAAGGTATGATCTCCCCCCCCGGCCCCCGCCCCTTTTTTTTATCTCGAAATTGGTTATTTTCCGCAATTGTCAATGTGGTTATTTGATTTTCATACAGCTTCAGACCAGCATGACATAAAATTGGTTTCTGATGGGGAAATGCAAAATACAAGTTTAACCAACAAAAAATTGTAAACTCAACGGTAATTTGAAATTATTCTACATTGTACTAGGAAAATCAAGAGCTGGATGTTTGATGGTGAATTCCCATGAAGGGTGCCATCAACAGACTTATGTTAAAACAGTTAAGGTAGTGGTTGGTTTGCATTTTCATTTTCCATTTTCATTTTCAAAACGATTTTTAGTTTTCCCCGAAAACGGCCCGTTTTCTGCATTTTCAACTTTATAGCTGAAAACGATAAAAAGTAGTTTTGCATTTTCAGTTATAAATTTTAACTCGTTTTCGAAATGCGTTTTCCGCGTTTTCGAAAACGGAAAACGAAAAATGGACCGAAAACGGCAAACTAACCACAGCCTAAATTTTTTAACAAGTGGGTGATCTTCGTTCTGTCTTTAATGTGACTCACTAGAGACTTTTGGGATCCTTCTCAACATTTCAAAAGTATGTACCCAAATGCTAAAGTTAGATCCTTAATTCCAGCTTTCACCAATCCAGTTCTTGAAATATATTTATAACATTAATTACAAGCTCAAAGAAATCGCTAAGGAACAAAATCTGCATTTAGGCAAGCAACTGAAGCAAGCATAGGGCTCGTAACAGTTTAGCAGGAAACTCATTAAAGAATAGTTGTCAAGAACTCAGAATTACATAACAAATTAGAATATGAAATGGCACTTGTCCTCTAAGAGAGAGAAGCTAACCTGGTTGGTGCAGATAAGATAGAAATGGAAGACACTCAGGCCGCCTACAAACCACACGGCGATGAAGCAGTACACTAATAGAACGACAGACATTATATCCCTCGACAAGATACCCCACATGCTGCCCGGTTCCTTAAGTATGTTCACTAAAGTAAATGTGAAAACATATATACACAAGATTGTTGATGTCGATATAAACAAAATGTACTCCCGATAGTTGCGCTGCAACCAAAAATCAACATAGACAAGTAAAGAGTTAGTTTGTTTTCAAGATATTGAAGGAACTAAATAGTCACTGTAGACTAGCAAAATATTCGAAAATGGCAAAATCTGACTTCTTTCTTAGTCAATGGTCTATGATTTCAATAAAGCACACTAAAAGCTTGTTTATTATGCAGTACTATGAACAACATTTTAACTTCCATCATATTTAATATTGTCTAGAATTGTCCAATCCACCTTATCAAGCTACAAACATGCCATGGAGAATTTTACGAACTCTGATGACAATTGAACGATGAAGCATCATAAGATTGCTAATGTAAATGCAACCATAACAAAATCATTAGCCTTGATTGTGCCCAACAAAACATCACCAAATAGTCAATCTATGTCCATTTTCCTTACTACATCAAATTTATAAATTGCAAGTACTTATTGCTATTTAATACTCCCCCACTTAAAACTATTTTGAGAAGTTTCCAACATCTTGAGGAGTGTAAGGAGTATTTTGCAGAGCCAATTGAAAGAAACAGGATAAATGTAGTAAGCTTGCTTTATTCGATGTGTCTTCATGCAATAAATAAGCTCCCATATTTACCATATAATCTCCAAAAAAATCAAAGAGAAAAAAGGGTACTTGAATGGTGAGATCTGCATCACACAAATAACAGTATTTTTAGGTAATTGAAATCAAACTGTTGAATTCTCTTCCAAGGCTCATTACATTATTATTTACAGATTTATGTGCATTAGAATTAAGAAAGTCTGATATATGGATCGACAAATTAATGTTTACATGTTGCTAAAGATATCTTTTATTGTAAATGGTGCCACGTAATAATTAAGCTACCGTTAGTTGTGAGACAGAGTCAGACAGAACTGAAATTGCTATAAAACTACTGAAAGTTGAATTCTCTTCCAAGGCTCATTACATTATTATTTACAGATTTATGTGCATTAGAATTAAGAAAGTCTGATATATGGATCGACAAATTAATGTTTACATGTTGCTAAAGATATCTTTTATTGTAAATGGTGCCACGTAATAATTAAGCTACCGTTAGTTGTGAGACAGAGTCAGACAGAACTGAAATTGCTATAAAACTACTGAAAGTGCAAATTAAAGTCTTCCTAACATGCTGCTGGAGGATAATAAGTAAATTTGTTGATAAAAATACACACACTTGAAATTAAGCCTTCTTCCCAGTAACTTTGGGGTCAGCTATAGATATAAAATACCAGTGATAAATGACTGAACTCAAATGTTCACCAAATTGATGAATGAAAATGTTATTAATCCATTTTCACTTTGTAAATAAAATGACAGAATTGAGGACAAATTTAAATTGGGAAACCTTTGATGTAATAAAATATTACGTGAGTGAAATGAAGGAGAACATCTAACATAAAGTTTACACAATATACTTACAAGTCCAATACACTGCCCCACCCATGGACAGTGGTGATCAAACCTCTGGACACAATTGTTGCAGATTGAGCAATGAGATGCACGTGGTGGACGATATAAAAAACAAGTATCACAGTACTTCACTTTAACTATGTGCCCATTGACAAATACATCCTTTGTTCTAGGTAATTTTATATCAGGACTTGCACCGTTGATCCAATCTACAGATGAAGAGGAATAAGACGATTCATCAAATTCAGGCAGCCACGAGTTCCTAGGAACTATTCCTGGATTTCTTGCAGATGTCATGAAGAGAAACATCAAATCCTGTAAAAAGTCTGTGTTTTTAAGTTTCTAAACACAATAACATTTTCTCGAAAATAATCAGTTTACCCACCAGAACTGTGAGGACAAATCCTATTATCAACACAATATGCCCGTACAAGAAGTCAACTTCTTTAATCCTCACAAGCATCTTGATACAGAATGTTAATGCAGGCCCCCCTATCAGGAAAATTGTCAAAAAAAGAGATGTTCCATCGGGACCAAAGATCAATCTCCCACCACACGTAAATTTCTGAAACATTGAAGGAATGAAATTTATAATTGTTGTATTATTAGTAACAATTGAGCTTAGATACAATGAAAATGCTTAAATCATTCAAGGAATCCTATTTAAGTAATATAGGAATAGAAAATTTGTAATCCTCCAACAAAGACTTCATCCCTTATCGAGTGATGAAAATCATGAGAATTCTGCCAAAATTAGTTCGTATCACAACAAATAAAGAGATGTATTCCCTGAACACACAATAATTGCAGCATGACTAGAGAGAGACTAGAAGTGTCTGAAGTTCATAAGCGCCAATCAGTTTAAGTGCTAATTATACAGGAAATCTGCAAATATTTCGCTTTAGCAAATTGTAAGTCGAAGAGAAAAACAACAGAAAAAAAAATGCTATAGAAGGTGAAACTGTACTTTTTCTATACAGAAGTTCTATTTTGTAAAGAAAACAGTATAATGTTAGTCCTTTTTGACAATCATTGTGCTCATTGAGGGAAACAACAGGAGCTTTTGGAAAAGGAAAACAGAGAGGCAAAAGTTCTCTTTCTGATCTATTCATAAATTTGACAAATAAAAAACCTCAAACTATCTAAATTCAATTATCATTATACACAAAAGAGTTTTTAGCAAGTTATGTGCATCCAACAGACATTTGCAAATTTCATCACTGTTGTGTCAAATCAAAAAGAGTTTCTATTATTGATTCAAATGCAAATATACTTCAAGTGAGCAACTATGCAGCAATGAGTAACTCTCTAATAAAATTGCAAGATGTAGAAGATTAACTTTACTGCTAATCCTGACTTCCATATTTGAAAGCTGCAACGTCTCTGAATACATAATACTAACCAAGCTTAGTTGTAGAACAGGTGAGTCAATACCTTTTTATTTCATTTTCGTAAAACATGAATACAAAATACTTCCATTTGAAAGCAGTAGTTGTCATCTGATGACAAATGCTTTGCCCGATAAAGTTCTCAATAACTCAAATTATTCATTGTTATAATAATATAAAATAATATGAACTTTATTTATTACAGCAAGAATGTTAAAAAAAAAAAAAACAATGAAAACTGCAGAGATATAATATGCGCCGAGAAATCTGTGAATCTACAACCTAAGGCCTATGTGTAAACAATTTCCTTAAAACAAATTTGCCCCCTCACCGTAGGTGCTTGACATTTAGTTTGGACGTCTGTCTCCCTAAATACAACGAAAAAAATAGTAAAATTTGAGCACTTCAATTTCTACTACGACGAAATGAATTTGTGTCGGAACAGCACCACCAAGACTAAAACAAAAATTTCCAGAGAACTGGTATTGGAAATTATGTAGAGATGTGGAACTGGAGACTATACAGAACTGAAAATTATGCAGAAAATTGAAATTTTCTGGTGTTGAATGGTGGAAAACGAGCTCAGTTATAAATTTGGCCCTCATGAATGATGAGAAAATTTTGTCCACTAACTATTGCCATTGGAGTTTAATAGTTTCAGAAGCTAAAAAATCAATTGGAGAAAGCAAAATATCAGCAAAAAGTGGACACGCCTAAAGGGCTAATTTTTGCTCCATTAGATCCAACATTCGTGTACTCAGGTCGTGCCTACATATAAGTTCAAGGCTCAATGTACAATTTTGTCCTTGATCTACACCCCTTCTACACGCACATGTGGAGAGAACCTTTATGCTATGAATGATTATACCCTTTCAAAGTGTAATCATATATAAAGTGGTCGTTACTTTCATCAACTTTCTTTGTGGAATAAACTTAAATATAGTTTTCCCTCCAACATAAGCTTTCTTCCAATGGTCCACTTTGAATTCAATTTCTCATTCATCCGTTTATCATTTTTGGCAAGTAAACATATGATTTCAATGTTCTCACAATGAAGAATGCGGATCAACTTTGATATTCCAAATTGAACTAACGGATCCCACCTAAAATTGTGCCAAAATTAAGCTCAACCAAGCCATTTTTCCAAAATTCATTACAAAAAATAACTCGAATTACTCATTACAAAAACTTTTCCACTTTCTCTACGAACATGTTTCTTAGTTCGTTAGGCCCTCAGTTTTGCGTTGTATTTAGAAGAAAATCTCATATGCCTCTCCTGCCTTTCTTGGTGCTCTCACTTCAATGGCTTGTAGACTTGCCCCCAAAAGCTCTTTCTTGCACTAAAGGGCGGATGTGATTGACCTCCTCTTCATTTCTTTAATCCACGAGGTCAAATTCTTATCCTTATATTAACTCCTCCACACCCCCACCAACTAAAAAAACGAAAAGAAGGTAAAAACTCCTGTAAGATATTATTGTTTGTTTATTGGTCCCCCGTGTCTGCCTTCTCGCTTTGCTTCGATCCTTACAACTTGGAAAATACTCCGTGGCAGAAAACCAATGTGAGGTTTTGCTGAAGACAGACTGATCAGCACAATTCCCAAATTTCAAGATTTAGCATCACCTCTAAAGAGAGCATTGGCTATAATTAGGTTCACTTAGATTTAGATTTGACCAGATTTTCGTCAAATGACCTCTTGTAGCCAGTTTAGTAAATTTATGAATTTGAATAAGTTTAACAAGAGTTTTCCATATTTGAATGACTTGCAAGCATTAGTCTTTTTATGCATATCCAGCTTACCACAGGTCTTGCTAAACAAGATTCTTATAAGGTTCTTATTGTGGATATAATGTCAATTGTTATAAAATCAAAGCGAGGTTCTTGATCATTTACTTGTAAGAACGTACCATATATACTTCCAGCTTACCACAGGTATTACTAAATGAGAAAATTATGTTGGGATGAACAGTTCATTGCACAAGACCCATTCACCCTAACACGCACCTTCCTTGGACAAATGTCTTGCTCACACCGACGAAAATAAAATTCATCAATTACAAATACTTCATTCAGTTCATTACTAGATCAACGGACGAATCTAAAGGAAAAAATAAATCCTCAGCAAGTCCCGCTGGCCATGTTATTTTTGGCTATCCCTCTGCCTCTTTTAGCATGTTCGACCAAATAACTTCCAGGTTATACCATATATTGCAATATCAAAATCGTTATAGATGGATTTTTCTTGCGTCAAAACAGAAAAAACTAAATGGAAAAAAAAATGAAAATCACATAAGCAAAAATTAAGAAGAGAGACTTACATTGCGACCTTGCCAAACTTGGTAAAGCCTTTTCTTGGATCTGGGAGGATCCATGAATTTGGAGGAAGGAGCAGAATCATGAATTTTGGTCGCACCCATCAAGAACACAACGTTTTTATTCTTCTTTTCCTATATATTATTTCATTTCAAATGCAAAATGATATCCATCAATGGGCAACAGGACGCCAAGATTTTGTTAGAGGGGCCCGGTTTAAGCTTCGAGAGGAAGGAAAGAAAAACAATTTACTCCAATAATGTCACCTCCCCCTCTGTCTCTCTCTAACTATCCTTGGAAGTTGCAATGGTTGGCTTGCAGAGACTTATAAATTTCAAGCGCATTTTTCGCGGGTAAATTTCAAGAATGAAAACTCGAAACTTTCGTTCAATAGCTTGTTATTTTTATAATTGAATCAAATAAAATTTTGTTATAAGAATATCATGTAGTAGAATTCATTTATTTTTTTCCTTTTCTTTCTTTTCTTTTTCTGTGTTAAAAATGTGACTTCTTTACATGGCGTGGCAACAGTAGCTCAACGAAAAAAAATAAAAATAAATGACACAACAGTCAGGACACCTTCAACACACGATTTTTTGTTTGGGAGTGATTTTGATAATTGATTTTTTGACCGTTGAGAGTAAAGTGATGTTCACCTGAAGAAGTCAAATATGACAGCTGAAAAAGTGAAATAACGGCCAAAAAATCAAATTTTTTGAAGGAAAAAATCACTTCCAATCAAACTGTAAAATGTAAATTGAGCAACAAATAAATTATGAAAAGAAAACACAAGAAATATTCATCTATGCCAATCTAATTTATGTACCAAACGTACACAAGTATTTAGTGTATATTTTATGATTAACAGTATGACGATAATTGAAATAAAAATTCAAAATGTAAAAAGACAAGAATAATGGGTTACCAATGAAACACTTGAATTCGTATTATTGAGAACAATAATTACACGAAATCAAAAGGAGAAAGCTAGTAAAGAACACACATTTTAATTGAAAGTTGCATCAACTTGCCGCTGTAGTTACAAAGAAAGAAATTACAATGTTGAATTTGAAACTCGCATCCCTCTATTTTGTTGTCTCCACAAGTGAAGGGGGAACCTCACCCTAATTTCCTTTATATGGAGAGAGAATACTAAGTCAACATAATAGGTTGATCGGTAATCAAAAGGAAAGGTATACCGTATAATCAAACATGTATATTTATTTATTTGCCCACGTCATAGGAAGCCGCAAAACAAAGCGTAACACGGTTCCAATTCTATACACTCCTTCATTCCAGAAAAAAGCTCGACATTATCGACGAAACAGCAACAAACTTGTACCTTACTAATCAATGCGATAAACAATATAAAAGAAGTAAGAATCTAACCTCAACGAGTTCCAAGCTACTATTCTTAAACTTCATTACAATCTTAAAAAACTCAGCATTATTCCCAATAAAAAGGAACTTCAGTTGAATTACACAAATACAACAGTAATGGTGAGTCCACTGCTGCAGCAGAATAAACATTAGGGTTTATTTCCAAACGAACAACATTAAATATTACAGGCTACAACGAGCTCTTTCCTGCCATCAACATCTCGTGAACTGAGTAAAAATGGATGTAGCTTGGTAACCAAAAGCTAAATTTTAATAACTAATAATGTAGAACGATCGCCTGACAGAAACTACATTTTCTTGCTGATAACATCATGCCTGAAGAGATTGCTGAAGCATTTGACCAGTCCAGCAGATTTATTGTGTAACTTCTACACTTCAGAGATACTGAAAACAAAAACAAGCACGCTTATTATAATCACCGGATGGAAAACTATAACACCTAAACTTGGGTCCAAGTTCAACAGGGCTTGTTTGTTTAAAAGAAACTGACCTCTTGAGAATTTCAAAATGTGAAAGTATTTTAACTTTTTGCATTTTATTTGATTAGAAATGTCTAAAAATGTATATTATCTTTTCTTAACAACTATTTTGCTCTGCTGAGTTAAAAATTCACATGATTTCATTAAATTAAATATTAACTAAAAAGTCCTGGGCAATAGAGCATAATAATTCTTGAATTCTCTTTCAAATTTCTGTTAGATAAACACACTGTAGGCAACAATCAAGCGTTTCTAGAAGGAAAAAATATAGAACAAAAGCATCTTTATTGGGAGCATGCAATCAATTAATATATTCAGAGATATGAGAAATAATAAAGTTCTAACCTTCCCACAGACCTCCAGCACAAAGGCAAATTTTTTTTCACCAGGTGTCATGAATAGAAGTACCCTCTGCATTTCATAGATCCACATAAGCACTTTTTTCTTCCACGGTCTCCTTGCTCAGGTCGAACCATCCCATAATCAAACGTCAGCTCTTGCATGGGAGGAATATGTCGGATTGCAAAGAAAGCAACATGGAGGTATGACTCATTGGTACTTTCACGTAAAACAGGCTTCCAGAACACATTTGGCGAGCAACTATGATTCATGAATCGAGCTTCGTTGCCATTAATTTTTGCACTTATAACAAGGGGAAAGGGGACTTTTGTAGAATCATCAGAATCATCATGCACAGCTTCCAAATGCTCATAATAACGAGTAGCATCAAAAATGTAATTATCTTCCTTTCCATTCCCAGTATCACCTAATGTAGATGTATCTACTGCATCCCCAGCATACTCACAGATAAAACCTCCAGCACGAATGGGATCCCAAGATCTAAGTCCCCAACCCCTGTCATTTGTCTTAAAAATCTCCAAACGGACTTTCGGACCAGCCTGAGACATTCGGTTCCGGCAGTTTGGAGGACATGTGCAGGTCGCTCCACACTCATATATCAAGGGTTTATAAGTCAGAAGAACCCCAAGAGATGAATAGGGGAGATATCCCTCGTTTCTTTGAGTACAAGGGCAGCTGGAAATACCTGGTTGACATCCACCAATGCATTGACAGCCCGAAAAAGATTTAGGTGTGGAAAAAGGTTTGGCATACTTGAGATTACGAATATATGTGAAATAAGGTGGTCCCTTTTCATCATCAATATCATTCACAAGACTGACAGGCTGGGTCTCTGCTCCTGAAGTTAAATCAGGAAGGATGACCCCAGTCCTCGGAGCAGTTCCATTCTTCCACTGCTGAATTGATTTCCACAATGTAAAAGCTTCAGGTTGACCAGGTACTCTAACCAACTTGTACTTGAAAACATTGCATCCAGAATTGTTTTTCTCTGTCCATGACTCTTGAATTTTGTACAGGCCATCATAAACATAGATCTTCCCAGTTGAACCGGCAATATCCTTTAAACCTCGGATGACTCTCACCTCATTTGCACGATGCAAACTCTTTTCTAAAGCAAGATTTCCCCTTTCCAGTTTCTGATCAAACATTTGTCCATCTCTTCTCTGCACTCCACCCTGGCCACTGTAAATCAAGACATCCCCATCATCTCCCTGATCATCATATCCTCCAGATGAAACAATGCTTACAGCCACAGGTTCTTCGTCCACGGTAATTTTCACGTTCATGTAATCTATCCCAGCCATACTAGGAGTATGTAATCCAACGATGCAAAGCTCCATCCTAAAGAAGAAAATATCGCCAACTTCTACCCCAGGCACATGACCAATCCTCTTTGTGTTATTTGTCCGAACCCCTTTGGTCATCAAGAGTGAAGCAGCTTTCAGATCTGGACGTCTACTAACCCCTGGAGACATATCCTTCACTTCTTCAAGTTGGGTAAGCCTTCTCCGAAGCAAATCAAAAACCAAGAGTATGGAATCAACTGTCTCCTTGTCACCATTAGCTCTTCTAACATCACCAAACTGCTTAAGCTTATAGGATGTTAAGAATCTATTAACTAGCGATTCAACATCAAAGCTATCTCCATGCTCGTCTTTGCTCTTACCAGGGTTGTTATCTCCAATCCCAACTCTGCTCTTCCTTGGACGCCCCCTTCGCTTCCTAGCATTACTCGCATCCTCTGTGTCAGTTACATGCACACTAAATCCACTTACATGCTGGCCACTTTGATTCAGAGAGTCACTATAACCATCATCGTCTAAAACTACAGGTTCTGAGCCCCTCTCAGATTGCCGAGTGCCCCCATTTGCCTGGGGCGTTGGTGTTCTAAATGAATTCAATGGAACGGGAGCTGGTATAGAATTACCAAAAGCACGATTCCCTGGCAGATTTGAAACACCTGAAGGGTGAGGGTTCCGATTTGGTTGAGAATCATTGGGTACCAAAAATGGGTAAAATGGATGGATCCCAGGGGGGAAAGGACCAGTAGGTGGCACACAAACGAAGGGTGAGGGTTGGGGGGTCGAAACTGAAGACATGCCAGGCGGGTTTGGCAAAACTGGTACAAGACATCTTAATGGCCTCACATCTAAAACCCTAGATTTATCAATTGACCCCAATGAAGGATTCGAGTCTGAACCTAAACCTTGCTCCATTTAACCACTACACAACAGTCTTATTACAGATTCTGATCAACACTAAACCACGATAAAATTACAAAAGTTTCCAGGTCCCCCTACTCGATTTCGTTCTTTTTGTGTCCCACAAAGATAAGAGAACACGCTTTTCTTCGATACTTCACTGTTATATACAATATTAATATCACGTCATGCAGTTATACAAACCATAGCCAGAAGGTTTAAGGTCCAAACCTTCAAAAAACCCTAACAAATCTACTACCTGTACCGTGCAAAAACGTTTGATTAAAATGTTTACTGAAAGAAATAATCAAACTTTGGAAGAAAAACTGTAAAGCCCTAAATTTTTGTCTAGGCCCTAAAATCCAATTTAAAAAAATTAGCAAGAAATGAAGAGTAAAACGAGCAAGGATTCAATAAAAGAACCTATTTTTGAATAACATATGACATAAGAATTTCGCCGTAAGATCTCGATGGGAACAAAAATCTCGAAAAAAGAAGACGACTAAAAAAAACTTCCATTTCTATTAATACATAAAATAAATTGGATAAAAAGTTTATTAATAAAAATTTGGTAGCAAAGATCAGAGATTCATGCGCGATAAAGAGGGGAAATAGATCTTTAATGGAGAAAATACCTCGCAGGATTGAATGAGCGTATCGAGGAGAGAGAGAGTAGGGTTCTGGGGTTTGCTGCCATAATAACGCTGCGATATTGAGGAAAATTTTTAAATGGACAAGAAGAATGAGCTTTGAAAAAATAATTGCTACTTCAATTTAGGCTTGGTTGGCTACGTTATTGGAATGAAAATATATTTTTAATAATATATTGATGAAAAATATGTAATTAAAAAATAAGAAATTTTTTTTAAATTTACGTGTAATATTATTTTATTAAAAATATGTAATTAAAATGGTATCAAATCACTGTTGAAATTTTTTTTTTTCAAATAATGTGGCTCAAATAAGGCCTTAAGCCTTTGTTTGGCTCCATTTAATTTTTTAAAAAAATGATTTTTGAAATAGTAATTTTCTTTTAAAGAATGTGTATTTAAAAAATAAGGAAAAACATTCGCTCTTCGTGTAATATTATTTTGTAGGAAAAAATGTGGTTGAAAATGATTTTCGAAAAAATAAAGATGGTTTTGTTTTACGTTTCTATTTTTTGTTTTATGTTTTACATTCATTTTTTTTTTGATGGATTATTTTAAAATTGCAGAAAATGCGTTTTGTTTGTCATTATGAAAAACTATTCTGAAAATAAAAAACTAAAAAACGAGTTTTATTTAAGGTTTTTATTTTATGATATTTTTTCAATTAATTTGATTATTTAATAAAACATATCAAATGTATGCTAATATGAGATCAAAAAATATAAACTTTATAATTGGTTAAAAAAATCGAACTTTGAATTTTCTTTAAGCATCTTAATATTGCACCACCTCCTCTTATTATAATGTGCTCTTTTAGATAGTCGTATTCATGCTTATTTGGCACTGGTGAGCTCCTTCCCTATCGTGTAACAAATTTTATTACAACATGTTGAATATGTTGAACGTTATTGGATTAAGAATTAAGGCACCATTTGATTCAACAAAATTTTCTCTAGAAAATGGAATTTGGATTCCAACTTCCACAAAAAGGGTGTTTGATAGCTTATATTTACCATGGAATTGAATTTCTTAGATTTCTCGAAAATTGCACTTTTTCTTGTTTTCAAGGAATTTGAATTCTCACCAATATGGTGAGAATTCAAATTCTAGTCTACTCTAACATTTTATTTTTTTCGTTTTTTTTTTTTTGTAATGGAAACTAATTCTAAGAATTATTGTAAAAAAATATTTTATTTTAATTGACAATTTTCCTATAAAATAAAGCCAAATAGACACTAAAAGATAGATAATTTTCTTGAATTTTTTATTTTTTTGTTTTTGTTGGCAATGGTAACAAATTTCATTCTCAACATCGGTAAAATATATCTCTTTAATTAACAATTTTCATATAAAACAAAGTCAAATGAATACAAAAAATACTTCTATTATAACATTTTTCATGTGAAAATTTATATTAATTAAATACAATAATTTACAATTCTCAAGAAAACAATTTTTAGGTAATTCAATTCTTTGAAATTCGTTTTCAATTCAATTCTATTTTTGCAATCAAACGGACCTTATATAAAAAGAACACAATCTTATATTAGAAGTTCAAAATACTCAATCCAACCAATCAAGCAAATCAAAAGGTTCCAAGACACGCCCTCTCCTAATTTTCTAACATCATCACAAATGTCATATAAAACAAAATCGAAATAACTATTTCTGAAATTGGAAAATTACCTTCACTCTCTTTTCTTGAGGTTTGAGAATAGCATCAAAGAGATGGATTCTTCACTAAGGTTCTTAGAAGAGTTTGGGACGAGAGAGAGAGAGAGAGAGAGAATATTTATACTGGGGTAGGTTTCGTGTGATTTTAATAGTTATTTTAATTTGAGAAGATTATAAGTTCACTTTCCTTATTTTGAGTTTATTCAAAATACTCAAAACGTTAAAAAGTCATTTTGAATTTTATGTGGTAAATTTTTTCTTGTTTTCGAAAACGCATTTTTTAAAAATAATATATCAAACAAGTTTCGAGAGTTTTAGAAAATTGAAAATTGCAAATGGCATCAAAACGTCAAATCAAACGCAGTCTAAATTTTTTGGAACTAATTTATTAAAAAATATATCCAATGAATAAATAAAATTTTCGATCACATAATCAATTATTTACATTGTAAAATATATCAAATCACGTAGTGACGTATCTTACGAAAATGTTACCACATTCAACTCGTGTTCTAAACAATTTTGCCCGTGTCATCATAGTTTTGTACTAGCACTTCTGCCTTTTTGTAAGAATTCAATTTTCACCGGAAGATCACCTTCTCTATTTATTTTTTCAAGCATAAACTTTGATGTAATTTATTTTTCAAGAAGAAAAAAGAAAAAAAATATATATATATATACAATTTCTCCAACAGTCAATAGCTAGAAGGTAGATGGAATACAAAAGTGTTAAGAATGAACAATTGTGTTTGACGAGTCTCTCCCTGAATTGAGTTATTGAGTTGTTTTTTATTGAAGATAACATTCCGTTTTCACTTGTTAAAGAACTATATTATCGAACTCTTGAACAAATATTTTCAAAAGACGTCCATGGTATTGCTTTTATAAGGACAACGACAACTCATTTAGGTGAATGCATGTGTTGAGCACTTGTTGCACCATTGACAACCATTTAACGAATGAAGTGATAGTCAAATATTATATGTTTTGTGCGAGCATGAAATATCAAATTATGGGACATGTGAATGGCGTGTTTCCTGTCACGTTGGAATAGTGGTCAATGTTTCATGGTAATGTGGAGGTCTTATGGAACATTCCAGATGTTTTATATGATTTTCTGAACATTTTAATAGTTTTTTAAAAACTTCGTTGGATAAAATGTAAGTTATCATATTTTATGAGGATTAAATTAGCAAATAAATGAACTTATTTATTGAACGTAAGTCCATGTTGATGTGTATAAATGGGGGCAAATTTCAAGCTAGGGTTGGCAACGGGGCAGGGAGTTAGAGTTGGCCTCACCCTGTCAAGCATTTTCCCTCCTCGTCCCCCTCGTTACCCGTTGAAGACGGGACGGTTGTCCCGTTTATGTATCCCTTTAATTTTTTTTATATATAATTTTTGATGATTCATTTTATTGCCTACATTTATTCAAGTGAGATAATAATATAGTTATTCAATTTTTTAATTTATTTATTTATTCTTAAAAGTTAAATTATTCGAATATATTAGACAAGCTAAGGTTTTTATTATTTGTTATATTCCTTAAATAATCTTAATTGCAATCTTTTATTAGAATTAAGGAAATAAGTAAATCAATCATTTGTCCTTGAGGGTTCAACATTAAGCCTCTCATACCTACTAATTGATGTACCTGAGATGCATTTCCTCTAACTCCCGAAAAAAGACATTATATGAACTGGATTAAAGGGGCCAGTCATCCTAAAATTAGGATTCATTTCTTGTCGCAAATATTCACTTGTAGCATACTATATTTCAATGGATTGGTATTTTGTGTTTAGAATTTCTAACTTATTATTTTTAAAATTATATAAATTATTCTAAATTCTTTAGAGATTTCTATTTTTTCTTTTTCTTTTTAGGAATAAAATATGGAGTTTGTCCTTTTTCTTAGTGATTTCGAATAAAACATGTATTCAAATGTAAGAGAATTGACAGGTATTTTGATTTCTAATATCTTAGTGTTGGTATATTCTTTTTTCTTTTTTTTATTAGATGGGTTTTTCTTGATTAAATATAGAAAAAGAAGACCATCCCCTTTCTGCTTCGATAGGTCTAGGTAAGGTATACGAAGAAAAAGCCAATTTCATGTAATTTTTTGATTTAAAGTATTGAATTTTTGAAAAAAAAAATGTAAACAAGGTAGGGGCGAGGCCCCTATTACTCGTATCACACCCATTAAGCAGGTAATCCCCATGCTTGTTCGAGACGGGAGCAGGGCCTCGTGAATATCAAGTTTGATGGGTATTTTGCCATCCCTATTTCAAGCCTAATGATAAGGAGTAAAATAGATTTTGGATGAGGGATCGACCTTATCCCCTACAGTGGGGGTAGGCAATAGCTCGACCAAACTAAGCTTAGGCGCGGTTTGGTTTGAGTCGATTTCGACTCCAACCCGAAATCAAAATCAAATTAATCTATTTGGGTGAGTTTCAACTCAAACCAAACTTGCTCTAGTTTTTAAACTAAATCGAATCGAAGATCTGGTTCAATTCAATAAGCCGGTTTGGACTTTTAGTCCAAAATGAATTAAAAATAAATAAAATTTGTTCGAGTGTTGGGCCCACTTATACTACAAAAACTAAAATAACTATTATACTTATAAATTACTTGACATGAGTGTGACGAGTCCTAAATATGCCGACGTGGTTTGACTATTTAATTACATTTGACCTATTTAGTCAAGTAAGATATTTTCCGGCCTAAGATTGGCCTGGCACATTTCTACTCCTCCTATATATGTGATTCCTTTCACAATCAAGGCATATTTTTTTAATTCTAATCAAACCCCTTCACTCTCTCTTGCACTCATATTTCTTTTGTCCGGTCGTTGATTCGATCGTCGAAGTGCAAACAGACGTTGGATCTTTTTTTCGACTAATACCTTTGTCTGCTAACGAGGTGTTCAGTGTGTAGGTGATGTTTACTTGGAGGGGATGATGTGAGATTTTGTTAACACATTTTTTTAAGACAACAATAACTAAATAATTTCATATTAAAACTTAAGGGTTTCTCAAGACTAAAATTAGAAAATGCGTTTGTTTAAAAACTTTAGAAATAGTTTTATGACATTTTGGACGAGCACGAGAAGACTAGAAGAGAGAGGGAGATGAGTATTAATATTTGGGTAAGTTTTGTGTGATTTTATTATACCAAAAAAGTCTAATGTAGCATCTAGCTGCACAAACTAAAATTTGTGGTGGACTCGGTGATGCTATGGGAACTAAAATTTGCGGTGGTGATTTCGTGAAATTTGGCCAATAAAAAATATGGTTGACGTCGACGATAGTGCCAGAGGTGGTGATGGTGTTAGGTCACGATCTTGGTTGTTGACTTTAGCCACAACAACGAATGATATAAATACTACCGTTGCTTTGGCTTTACTCATGTTAGTGACATATTTCTATGCGGGTATTACCAAAAATCGTTAACTAATTAGCAGGCTGTGGGAATAGTCGAAGCCATACCCAATTGAAAAAGGATGTTATCCAAACGCATTTTGAGTAATAGGCTTTTTTTTATTAAAAAATTTATTATTAATATGAAAACAAATTCTTTTTTAAAAACCTAGGCTCTGGGATAGGTCCGTGTGGTGTGGTGTGGTGCGAAGTGAAGGAGAAATTTTCAATTTTTTATGTTTTTCATTTTTATTTATGATTTGGATTTTTTAATAACATGGGCTTAACTAAGTTACCATTTTGCCCCTATCAAATTTGGTCAAAATAAACTTTTTCGTCAACTACAAGCAACTGGATGGTTTCTATCCATTTGGATTCCACTTGCATATTTATAAAAGGTTAGAGATTTTTGTCGGCACAAATTAAATGTTAATGTAAAGTATGCAAAAATTGAAATGATTAGGGACTACTACTATAATTTTCCCTATATTATATGTCTCATGAAGAGCTATATATCATTGTGAAACTCTAATTTATCATTGTGAAACTCTAATTTTTCTATGTATTTGACATGCGGATTATCAATTCTCATGTATTGACTCTCAACCCTAGTTTCACATAAGCAATGCATCTTTGATTGAGCATCGAAAGGTGATGGGACGTTAGCTGTAAAATCCGTCTATCAGATCAACTATTTCGTTAATGATGAGAAACGGAAGTGTACTCGTGAGCAACATTAAGTATTTTGAGAAGTTTAGTGGCCAAAATTTGATATACTAAAATGTAGTGAACAACTAATGCATTTGTCTAAATTTAGTGATTATTGGTACAATTAACTCTGAGTGAACCCTTTACTGTAAAACAATAAAATTTATCATTTACGTTCTTAAAAATGTAGTTTCACATTACTTACAAGTAATTTTGTAAGCATGAAATGGCAAATCATTACGTTGTATTGATCGCCTTGTACGATGAATTAGGTTGTCTTCTACCCAACCAATTGCGTAGTATGTCAACATCTTCCAGCTCTCTCGCTCCTCTCTCTTTAAAACTCAATTCTGTAGTGCTTCACCTGGCCCAGAAAACATAGTGCGCCACCATTTCCACTTCTTCTTCGGTCTTAAGTGCCTATCCACCGGTCTTCACCAGTGCCTTAAACGCAGAAAATCACTGATTAATGGACCATGAACATCAGCAAACTCTTCTTGGTGGTGTTAATGCTGTGGGTCCCACCAGATTTTCACACCATTTGACTAGCACCTCCGACCACCACCACCGCACCCCCCCACCCACCCCCCCAAAAAAATAATAATGATAATCGGGAAATGGACACACAGGAAATTTTTTATTGAAATAATGATACTTAACAAGTGTGCTTCAATAAGTGTAAACTTTGTTCAGGCTGTTGGAAGCAGTTGACGCATTTGCTTCTATTATGTTAGACCCGGTTAGAATGGAGCAATGGCCTTTTGTCAGATTTCTTCTGTAATATAATGCATACTGGAATTTAGAGCTCTTAATAATGATTTCCTTAAACTGCAGGTTATTGGTGGTTTTTCTTGCCTTTGACGTGTTCTTCATGATCTTTTGCGTCATAATGGCATGTATTATTTTCTTTGCATTGTTTTTTTGCTTTCCGATCTTAGCTACAGTTGCCTATGCTATGACTATTGGAGAAGGGGCCTCAGAAAGCGATATTATGGCACTTCCAAAGTACATATATTGCCAGCCCAATTCTTTGACAGAACTTGATAAGGGTATAATGGACAAAGTTGAATTAATTCCAAAGTCTGATAACAGTAACTCTCCTACTGAGCTTGCTCTTCATCTAGAAGATTCTGTAAGCATTTCTCCCTTTCTGTTCTTAATGTATAATTGTTTCATTTCTTGGTTTAGTTTTAAATCTGTCATTTATCTTTCTAAATCCAGAAGTTATTATTTCCAAACATAGCCCTATTTGTTTTGGGATATATGGAGTCATGTTGCCAATTGGAAAATTTCTAGATTTTTTCATTTTGTTTTGTATTACGATGGAAATGGCACTAGCCAATCTTATGGATATTCTTTTTCTATATGAGATGATGGTTAATTACTTCCTTAGAGGGAACCTTTTACTGCCATTTTAGGTAGAATGACAACAGCTAAGCCTTTTTATTAATAAAATTGGGGTTCCGCCAATCATTGATAGATCGACAAGATTGGCATTTTAAAAATATTATTGAATTATCTAAGGAAATTGCTTATACTCTTTTAGGGATCATTTAGGTTACTATAGCTATATAACTCCATCTCCTGTTGCAATTATACAGGTTAAGAGTTAGTGGCATGTAAGTAGGAAAGCATAGAACTCAAAAGTGTTAAGGAAGAAAAAGAGATAAAATCTTGTTCCTTACTCTACTCGTCCTGTCCATCCGGTATTGCGTATTAAACATTCACTAGGAGTATGCCTTTCCATTGTGAAGGGTCCAGGGCAAAGCATAAAAAAAGCAGTTCAAAAAACTTTCTTGATATGTTTTTACATTCGTGAAAGGAGAACCTCCATAAAATTGTGTATGTATATCAGTGTATTCGTTCTAAATTGTTGCAACCATACCTCATAATTTGTATGCTAAACATTGATAAAGTAACAATCATAAAGTTTCGTCTTCATAATACGAACAGCTGAGCTGAATTACCAAATGATTATTGCTTGCGATTTCTTTGCTTTATTTTTGGTTGAGAATGTTTTCCAATTCACATTACGACTTCTTTTACCTTGCAGGAGTGCTGCATATGCCTCTATAGGTACGTTGATGGGGTAGAGTTGTGCAGACTTCCTTGCAACCACCATTTCCATCATAGTTGCATCAGCAAATGGCTGCACATAAACGCAACATGCCCTCTCTGCAAATTCAACATTCTCAGTGCCGAGACGTTGGTTTGATCATTCTCAGCCAAGATTAATCCAGGATGTAACCTGGATAACAACAGGAATATAGGTGCCCATCTTGCTTATCTTCAAGGTACAGTAGAAATGCAGATTTTATGCAGAGCTTCATCTGGGGTTCTTGATGTATTGTTTTTTGCTGTATCAGATGTTGTACTATACATGGGGTTTTTACCTACATTCTGAAGCTTAATTCTGATATCTATATAGTCAGGTTTTACCCCCAAAGAAGTGGCAAAAAGGATACATGTAGCAGAGTTGAAATTAATTGGAAATAAGACTTAGTTTGTTGTATAGTCATGTTTCAGTCATCAACTAAATCGGCGAACCTCAATACACACATGTATGTAAGTTAAGAGTTTCCAACAGTCCACCAAATACTTTGTTTATGTTTGCTAAGAATCTAAGTAGAACTTGTTAGAAGAGGAAGAGGGAGGTCGAAACTAACTTTGTGTGATATGTTTGCTAGTGATCTGGTTGTTTTGAAATGTCATACAGTCGACTTTAAATTTATTAGGAACAAGATTCGGTTTGTTGTTATTGTGTAAGTGGACAATCTTACAATCAAATTACTTGAATAGTTTTGTACTCCATTGTTGAAGTAAGAACTAATTCATTTAGTCAAAATTCATTATTAGTCTCCACTAATTTGAAGTTGGATTTTAATACTTAAGAGATGTGACCGCACAATTATGCCCATGAGACCATTTAAGTGGTGGATTAGCCCAAGTACAAGTTTGTCAAAGTTTTGAATTGCTGCGGATTATACTGCATTTGACCTCGACTTATTCTCCATAAATTTGAAGTCAATTAAATAAATTCTTTTTGTAGTTCCATTCACTTAGTAATTATATTTAATGAAAGATTTAATACGAGACACGTGTCAATTATTTAAATTGTCATTTTCTTAATTTATTTTTCATTTAGGGTCCGTTTGATTGCAAATGTGGAATTTGGGTGGAAAGAAAACGAATTCCAGGGAATTGAATTGATAGGAAATTGTTTTCCTGAGAATTGTAAATTATTGTGTTTGATTGGTATAATTTTTCACGTAGAAAATGTTTAAATTAAAGTGTTTTTTGATGTTCGTTTGGCTTTGTTTTACATGAAAATTGGCAATTAAAGGGATAGAATTTACTGGTGTTGGGAATGAAATTTGTTTCCATTACAAAAAAAATTCAAGAAAATCATCTATCTTTGAGTGTTCGTTTGGTTTTGTTTTACATGAAAATTATCAATTAAAAGGAAATATTTTTTTACAATAAATCTTAGAATTTGTTTTCATTACCAACACAAAAAAATAAAATAAAAATAATAATGCTAAAGTAACATGGAATTCTAATTCTCACCATTTTGGTGGGAATTAGTTTTCCTTAAAAACCAAGAAAATATCAATTCCTGAGACAAGTAAGAAAAGGCAATTCCATGGAAATAAAACCCTATCAAACACCATAATGTTGGAAAATGGAATTCTTCCATGGAAAATTTTGGTGTATCAAACGCACCCTTAATACTTTTCTCTAGTTCTTCGTGTGTTTCATGCGAGCATACCTATGCTTTGAGGACGTGAAAATCTTTAGTGTTGATATTGTTGTTCAAAATAAATAGAAGAATATAGAATGAAAAATGGAACGGGCTGCGGTCGCAAGGTGACATACATGGCTTTGTTCTATGCTGCAACATAGGAATTTTTTATGCAATCACATAAAACAATCAACTAGTTGTTAAGGCCATTTTTTGTCTGAATTTTGGTGGCCTTTGGAGAATGTTTTGCATTTTTTCGTGCGTTTTGACACCTACTCGTCGAGTATTGATTGAGACCTGTAAATATGTGATCAATTATCAAAACAAAAACATTTGATAGAAAAAATTTCATTCCACATACAAAAGTTCAAAACCTCTTTCCATCATATTCAAAATTCTGATTTTGCGTTCTTAAAGTTTTGAAGGATTTCACTAATAATGCTTAAGGATTAAATCATTTTCAAGGTTTGATAAATTCTATAAATCGTTTGCCAACAATTTTTTTAAGCATCAAATTCAATCGTTTGAGAACTGCGACTATGTATTTGTGCATTTTTTTCTGTTTCGTCTTGTTCTTTGTTTCTTCTCTACCCCCTTGCATATAATTAATACAACATTTAGTGCGCTGATTCGTTAAGGTGTTATTTTGATTTCCGTCAGCCCATAGTTAGATTCGATTATTATTTTATTCTCTCCGTGTTAGACCTTCACCACCTCTCTCAAGTTGAATATTGGAACTTGGAAGGTCGTTTGCAATGCGACAAATCTGTATTATAGTAGTAACAAACAAAAAGTTCAGAATTATATCGAATGAAGCATTTGACTTAGTCAAAGTCAACTCACACGTCATTGCTCACGCACCTCATTTTATCTTCTAGTTATATTATTGGATAAAGTTTATACCGACGTTCGGTTTAATTTATAAGTTGATAAAAATTTAAGTCAAAATTTATATTTATGAAATTCACAAATTTTATTAATTTTTTACTTTATAATTTAGTAATTTTTATTAAAATTAAAGTTTATATTTTTATTGAGTTAGAAGGACGAAATCACATACCATAGCCATGAAACAGTATAATAGAAGCAAGTGACTCGATAACAAGCTAAGACTTGTTTGGCAATGATTTGAGAATTGATTTCTTGATCGTTTGAGAGAAAAATGAATATTACCTGTAAGAGGAGAAGTGAAAAATGACGATTGAAGTAGTAAAATAACTTTCAAAAAATTAATTTCTTAAGGAGAAAAATCAATGCCACTTGACAACAATTGAAATAAAAATATTATCTTGTTTTACATCCCTTCTGCCCATGAGACTTGCATTAATATTGTAGGCACAGAAGTCAAACGTGTGGACTCGACACACTGGATATCATGACTAGTCAACATTAGACGATGACCGTAAGATAGGAAAATTGGACGGTAGGCGTCAGTATTTGCTTGGACACGCGTCTTGAGAATTGGACTTGATGGTGGGATAATTGTCCTTTGCATTCTGCATTAAAAGAAAGAATAGAATCAGGTAAAGCAACACTTATTTGACTCTTGATATTATTCCTTCCCGTCCATATTGGTTACCTAAATAAATATATCTAAATTTTGAAATTTTGGGTGGTAGAGGATAATGTTGTTGAGGTCTGGATTTAGAATAAAGAAGATCTAATTCTCAGTTATGTTTCAAGAAAAATCTTGGTGTAGTTTGTGTAGGAAACTCATGATCTCGATTCTCAGAAAAAAATTACCTATTTGTTTGATGAAGAGTTGCAGAGCAACTACAAATTACGATGATTTCACTCTTTACTACAAAGTCGAGCCATGGCCCATAATGATTACCTTACAATGTACCCGATGAATCTCTTGTAATTTCCTCTCAAATCGAAGCTTGAGCTAGCCCCTTCTTTGATGGAGCTAAAACATCGGATTATTAACTTTTTGCGTTTTTTCGAAGTTTAA